GAGTGAGTTTCCTTGCATCTGCGCCCTGCAGGGGAAGGGGGATGGAGGGGCTGTAGGGGAAAAGCGTTACCTACTTGAGCTCTTTTCCTGAGGCGCCTCAAGAAGAGAGGGGAAAAGGGGTGACTTTTGAGGCGCCTCAAGAAGAGAGGGGGAAAAGGGGTGACTTTTGAGGCGCCTCAAGAAGAGAGGGGGAAAAGGGGTGACTTTTGAGGCGCTTCAAGAAGAGAGGGGGAAGAGGGGTGACTTTTGAGGCGCCTCAAGAAGAGAGGGGGAAGAGGGGTGACTTTTGAGGCGCCTCAAGAAGAGAGGGGGAAAAGGGAGCAAATGAGTTTTTTGAGCCCTTCAAGTGATAAGCGGCATGGCCTTCCCCTCCCCTGTCAACCCCCTCCCCTGTCAACCCCCTCCCCTGTCAACCCCCTCCCCTGTCAACCCCCTCCCCTGTCAACCCCCTCCCCTGTCAACCCCCTCCCCTGTCAACCCCCTCCCCTGTCAACCCCCTCCCCTGTCAACCCCCTCCCCTGTCAACCCCCTCCCCTGTCAACCCCCTCCCCTGTCAACCCCCTCCCCTGTCAACCCCCTCCCCTGTCAACCCCCTCCCCTGTCAACCCCCTCCCCTGTCAACCCCCTCCCCTGTCAACCCCCTCCCCTGTCAACCCCCTCCCCTGTCAACCCCCTCCCCTGTCAACCCCCTCCCCTGTCAACCCCCTCCCCTGTCAACCCCCTCCCCTGTCAACCCCCTCCCCTGTCAACCCCCTCCCCTGTCAACCCCCTCCCCTGTCAACCCCCTCCTTTCTCCCTTCAAGGGCTATTTGGACCGCAGTACTTACAGTGTGACCTGCTAACTGAGAAGAGTGACGCGTACAGCTTTGACATTGTGCTGCTGGAACTCGCCACTGGACTCCTCCACCTCTCATGCTCATCTCTCCCCCCTTGTCCCCTGTTTACTCTCCTCTCCCTCAGGGCTATTTGGACCCACAATATTTCCAATGCGATCTTCTGACTGAGAAGAGTGACGTGTACAGCTTTGGCATCGTGCTGCTAGAGCTTGCCACTGGCCTCCGCCCGGTGACCAACGGGGAGCACATAAGACGGATCGTGATCGATAGGGTTACCAACCACGGTGGTGTGAACAGTGTCATGGACCCGGTTTTAAAAGCCATGTGTGAGGGGCAGCAGGGGGGGGATAGGGGGACCGGGGAGGGGGGAGGAGAGGCCGGAGGAGCTAGGGGAGGAGAAGGAGAAGGGGAGGGTGGAGGGGAAGGGAGAGGAGGTAGAGGAGGTGGGGGAGGTGGAGAGGTGGGGATGAGTGAAAGTAAGGAGACGTGTGGAAGCGAGGCCTTGGAGGAGACGTTTGAGTGGTTCTTGCGGCTTGCAATGCGGTGCAGCTTGAAACAGGCTCAGAACCGACCCGACATGCAACAGGTTTTGAAGGAGTTGGAAGGGATTAAGAGGCGGTTGAACCGGGTTTCTGCTTCTCGTGGTGTTGGCGGTAGTGCTGGTGCTGCTGCTGCTGGCGCTGCTGCTGGCGCTGCTGCTGGTGGTGCTGCTGGTGGTGATAGTAGCAGGCGTGACAATGGCGAAGGGCACGATTGGGAAGAGGAGCCTGTGTGTGTGGCTAAGTCACAAACCAGCGACAAGTTTTGGAAAGAAATAGCTGCAGCGGCATCAGGAGGCGCTGCAAGGGAGGATTGGGGGGAGGAGGACGAGGAGGAGGATGTTTCGTGGTATGAGGAGCGAATGAAGAGGAGTGGAGAAGGGAAGGGTGGGACTTCGAGCAGCGGTGGGGATGGGTTGAGTCCGATGGTTACGTTCAGTGGGAGTGTGCATAAAGGAGACGTTAATCCCCGGTGAAAGGAGGGGAGGGGGGGGGAGGGGGAGGGAGGAAGGGGGTGAGAGAGAGGGGTGTGGGGGGGGGGGGGGGGGGGGGGAGGGGAAGGGTTTAGATAGATGTATGGGGGAGTGGGTGGGCTTTTGGTAGTGCAGGCAGCAGTGGGGTGTATTGCAGGAGGCAGCAGCATGGGGTTATGTATAGGAGGGATGGCAGTGTGGAGGGATGTGGAGCACTGGTTGGAATGGGTTCAGTGCGATGGTGATGTTCTGTCTGTAGGAGTATCCAGCAGGTTGGGGTGGTTCTTTGATGAAAGGGGATAAGGCAATTAAGCATTGCAGGGTATTTTAAATAAAGCTAACAAATATTAAGCATACTACTGTTGTCACAAGTAATGTGCTGTATAGTCTAGCACTGTTCGTCTTACTATCACCACCACTTGGAAGATATCATGTTCACCATCAATTCAATTTCATGCAATGTGATAGATTGCTTACGACATCTTGCGAAGCCTACGTACTTCCTTTCAGATGGGAGATGACAGCTCATATACAGTACACAAAGCATAGCATAACACAAATGTACATGTGCACACAATGACTAGCCAAATTCTAACCTTGTTACACTTAAGGAGTTGGTTTTGTCTTGGATTGTTCTATCTGCTTCTTCAGCTTCTTCTCTGCTTCAATTGTTATCCAGCAGAATTGCTTTAGCGGCTCTGCCAAGGTATCATGTACACTCCACCACCTCTTATGAGCCGCCTCATTAGCAAAGTTTCGAAGCGCAGGCACCAGAGCGTTACAATCAAACTCGCGGTAACACGCCCACGGCTTGACACCAAGGTAGTGTATAGCGTGGATTTCTGAAGGGTCTTGTGAGAACCACCTGTTTCTTATAACAAGTGCTGCTGCCCTCTTCACAGGGTCAGTGGTCCAGATGGGTTTGAGGGTGTTTATGGACTCTGGTAAGCGGTGCCACCAGGTGAAGACGTTGTTCAAGAAGCCCTGGGTAGAGGGGGAGAATCAGGGACATTGAATACATCAATCGGAGACATAGGGAGGAGGGAAGGCGGAAAAGGGATCAGGGGAAGTAACAGGGAGGGGGGGAAGAGGGGGGGGAATGAAGAAGTGGTGGGACACTGGTAAGGACAGGAAGTTGCATGGAGTGGAGGAGGGTGTGGGTGGGGGAAGATAGGGTCTTAACAAATGACTGTCAGCTCGAAGTTTGTTGGAATCTTCAGTTTGGTCTTCATGAGTGCCCTCACTTATTAAATTGTTGGAAACTTGTTTGGTACATCTATCTGCCAGTTCATGGATAATAACAGATTGCTGTAAGCGGTTTTGGTTTCACATGGATGTAACACTGATGTAACCGCAGTCCATACTACAGCAGTGGTCTCACCTGGTCCCCTCCGTTGGCCGATCGCACTCTCCCAATATTTTCCATCAGCAGCTCGAACGTGCAATCCGACGGCTCCAGGACCATCACGCCTGAGTTAAAATCTGAGCCGTCGTTTCCGCGGGCGGAGATCTCGGGGTAGGAGAAGAGAAAGTCAACGTTGGCCAACAGGAGCAGGTCCGAGTCAATGAAGAGCAGCTTGGTGTACTCCGTCTGCTGCCACAGCCGCAGCTTGCTGGGGGGGGGGGGGTGGGGGGGGGGGGGGGGCGGGGGAGAGTCAAGGAGTCAACAGAGAAGTCAACAACGTAAAGGTATCGTCCGGGAAAAATCAGCAGCGAGAAAGAAAAAGAAAGAAAGAAAGACAGAAAGAGAGGATCAGCCTCTCCCCTTCTACCCTCTGCCCTCTGCCTTCTGCCTTCTGCTTTCTGCCCTCTGCCATGACTACTTAAGGCCACGGCGGCCCCTCCATCTCTCATTCTTTCAGTTAGTGCTGAAAATTTTGGCGCTTCGCCCGCCGGCGCTCGCGAGCGCGGCCTACGGCCGCGCGTTAGGGATGGCAAGGGGAAGCAGCAAGCAGTAATAGCTTAGGCAACCAATGCAAACAAAGCGAGCATAGACACTTAGCAAGTAGAGGATGGAACGGGTCTACACGCGCAAGGGGGGAGCGCCTACATGCGGTCCGCCTCTACCGCAGCGAGCATTCCGCTCGTGTTCAACCACAACTGGCAGACCACAGACACGGTGGCGCCTACAACGTCAACAGGAGTACCAGGGCCTGCTACAAGCGTCCTCAGAGCCAGGGCCGAGTCAGCCAGCTGGCTGGCCGAGGTTGCTCCCGGCGAGGGCGCTACCTGCAGTGGCGTTACGAGCGCGAATAGCGCTGACGCCGCCGCATGACAATCTGCTCGCGGCTTCTGAGAGAACCTGCTCGGAGGGCTCACCGGCATGGAGTCAAATGACTCCTGGAGAATCCGCTCAAGACTCTGCAGGGACGCCGCCAGCGACCATAAACGGGCCAGGGTCGCCGTGGGAACTTCCTTCATCGGCGGAAGCAACGCAGACGCGCGAGCACGGTGAGTCGACACGCGCAGATCACGCGGAGCAGGAAGAGGATGCGGCGGAGCAAACTGAGCCCATGGCGGCCCGCCACCAGCACCCACGAAGCCCATCCCCGCAGGCAGCGGCCGCTCTGAACGCGCCGGGGATCCAAAGGGATTGTGGGGCAGGAGCGCGGAGAGAGGGACGACGGGAGCAGCGAGAGGAGCTGATGGTGACGCCGACCCCGCACGCGAGCGACGAAGCTCTTTCTCCACGTCTTCAAGCCTATCCAGAAGACGGCGCTCCATTGCGGACGGCGCTGGACCGGCTTTTCCGCCGCGACTGTCACCCCCCCGTCGCCCACGACGCGCACGCCCACTTGCGCGCGAGCGCACAGGCGACTGCGGGCGAGATGGGCCCTGCTGACGCTGTCGACCAAGATAACGGTCCCCGCGACGAGGGGAGTAGAGCCGTTGGCGTTTTGCAGGAGGGGGCGAATGCGGAGCTGGGGGCCGACGCCCAGACGTCTGGCGGGCAGGCAAGCGCTGGCGAGATGAACGATGAGGAGGCGAACGATGACGATGCGAGCGGAGGTCACGGGATCGGCTCCGCGACGCCACGCGACGAGGCGAACGAGGAGACGGCGACGAACGGGCCGCACCGTGACGATCATCGCGGCGGCTCTCCCGCTTATTGTCGCGAGCTGCCGATGAGCGACGACGGGGCGAACACTCCTGGTGCGCCACAGCCTCTGCGCCGGAGCGCAGGACGGACCCCGCGCGCATGGGCTCCGGCGGTGACACGGACCTGCCCGCGCGCCGAGCCAGCTCGCGCTGCTGGTCCTCGAAGCGGCGGCGGATCTGATCAGCGGACGCCGGGGGAGCAACAGGTACGCTCGCGGCAGGGCGTGCGGGAGGAAGCGGACGGGGAGCGGGATCGCTCTCCGCGGTGCAGTCGCGGCCCATAGCGCCGAGGAAATCCATCGGCGAGCGCTCAGGGCGCTCCACTGCCACAAGAGGAGCCGACGACGCCGATCTCCCAGGCGCAACAGGCGGCACCTGTGGCAGCCACTCCGAGGAGCGGACGGGGAAGCACGCGGGGGAGAGGCGGGCGTCGAGGAGCGCGCGGAGGACAGCGGAGTGCAGGCCAAGCGGCGAGGGGGAATCCGCGCCAACTACCGAGCCCAATCTGGTTGGGGGAGCCGGCAGAACGAGTCACGCGCCAGTCATTTGCTAGACGCGGGGAGAGAGGGGGAACGACAGCGCAAGCAGTGAGAAACGGTGATACAAACGCAGACGGGAGCGGCGACGAATATGTACCGTCAGATCTGAGGCAACCCGACAACCCCGACTCAACTCTCGCGGAAGCGGGGGAGGACCAGGCGCAGCAGCAGGAGAACGGTTCAAGACGCCGACTGAACCGCAGACCCCAACCCCCTCCGGACCAAACCCTGTCAGCGTCCCAGCTGGCATCGAGGGAGGATCTCTTTGAGATCGCGATGAGCTGGGACTCTTCAACCCTAACGTCAACCACCCACCTGCCTATCGTCCGCCGCCTCCCGCCGCAAATACTAAGCGACTACTCCACCTGTATGCTGGCCGCCCTATTACGGATCTCCAAACTGCCCAACTGCGCGGGAGCGTGGCGGGTCCTCATGTTCCTGCCACGTCTCACCTTACGACTTAGCAAGAGGTCCAGCTCTAAGTGGAAGGTGATGCGAGAGCAGATGCACCTATTCAGATGTGGCCACTAAAACCAGCTCTACAGTGACTACGTGGGGTCCCTGCACCAAGCCGAACCACCTCAGCACCAAAACGACCCCCTGGGAATCTTCTCACATGTGGAAGGGTTGGTGAAACGGGGTAACCTGCGAAAAGCACTGGCAGCCCTCTCACCCTCGCCAGTGGCCCCTACGACGATCGCAACATTGCAGCAGTTGGAATTAAAACATCCCCAACCCCAAGTTGAGCTGCCCGACTAGGTCCACACCTACACAACATCCACGCAATTTTCGTGCACCGCGGAAAATTTCTCAGACGTCCTTGGGGATTGCCCCAGCGGGGTTGGGGCTGTTCCATCCGGGTCAACATTTGAACACTACCGCGACCCAGCCCTAAGCAACATCGAAGTGCTGGGGCACCTACACTCCGCCGTGACACATCTTCTCTCCACGAATCTTTCCACCGAGGTTGCAGCATTACTCTCGCCATTCCGCCTCATCGCCTTCGCTAAACCAGAGGGGGGGGTACGCCCTATCGCAATAGGGGAATCCCTACTCCGTTTGGCAGCAAAGGTGGCACTCTCGGAACTGCAAGGAGAAACAAGGCGATTTTTCTTACCCCAACAATTCAGTGTGGCAGTCCCAAGCGAAGCTAAGTTCGTTATACATGCCGTCAGAGACCTCACCACTTCACATCCCTCCAGCCTAGTCGTCCAACTCGACATTGAAAACGCTTTCAACTCCGTAGAGAGGAAAGCGTTCTTCAACGCACTCACCAACACCCCGCTAGCACCGCTCATACCTTTCACCCGCTCCTTCTACGCAACGCCTTCTCAGCTGCTTACCGATCCCCGCTTGAGCACGACAGCACTTACCAGCGGAAGGGGGGTGAGGCAGGGGGACCCCCTCGGACCCCTGCTGTTCGCAGCATCAATCCAGCAACACCTTAGACGCACAGCAGCAGAGCACCCAGAAGTCACGATCCTAGCATACGCAGACGACATCACCATGATCGGACCGGCGACAGCAACGCTCGGCGCACTCAAGTTGCTGACGCCGCTGCTCGCCCAGGATGGCCTCACCTGTAACCTCAGTAAGTCGTCGGCGTGGTCCACGACGCCGCTTGAGGGTGACGAGCTCCCCGAGGGCCTACAACTCACCCACGAGGGGGTACGGGTGTTGGGAAGCCCCGTGGGGTCACATCGCTTCTGCTCTGACCTGGTCCGCAGTACTTAGACAAACGCAGCGGCACCCCTGGGCTCCCTAGCATCCATCCACCCACAGCATGCCCTCCTGCTCCTGTCCCGCTGCATCAGCCGCAGAATCGGCTACTTGCTGCACACCACCCCAACGGATGTCCTTCCCCTCTCGGAATGGCACGCGTGGTGCGCCAAACTGCTCAACACCGCCCTGACTGCCGCCAGCATCCAACCACCCCGCCACGAAGCCGAGTTCAATCTTCTCATCCGCCAAGCAACCCTCCCAGTGGCCCTAGGTGGACTGGGCCTCACAGATCCCACAACAAAAGCAGCGCCAGCCTACCTGGCCTCAACGACAGAGGCACTACGCCTGCTCCGCTCACTCGACCTGCCAGCAACCGCGGCGCTAGGGAGCAACAGCAACGCCCTGCAGCCGTCTGCGGCACACTCGGTCACCATCCAAGACATGGAGGGACGACTGCCGCCGCTGGCGCTGCAATACCTCCGCGAGGAGCAAGAAACCCCGTCCCAAGACCAGCTGCAGCGGGCCCTCTCTCTGGAAGTGCACGCGGCAAAAGCCGACTCCCTGACAGAGGAATCACGCTCGATCAGGTCAGCCCCCGAGACGGGCCACACGCTCCGCCTCGTCAGCCTGAGAGGCGAGGGAGCGGGAGCATGGTTGCAAGCCCTACCCCTGACCCCAGACCTCTGCTTCTCACCAGGGCAATTCCGAACAGCCCTGGCCTTCCGCATGGGCATCCGACAGAACGTACCTACTGTGTGCGAGTGTGGAGAGCTCGTGGCCGACTGCAGCCTACCCAACCACCTACTCCGCTGCAGCACAGGCCCGGACAGAACGCGCACACACAATCAACTGGCCTTTGCCGTGGCAAAAATGGCAAGGGAGGCGAAGCTGGTGGTATACCTGGAGAATGCAATGTACTCACCACCGGATGACCCGAAGAAGGCCGATGTGATTGTGCGTGACCCAGACAGTGGAGAGACCTGGATCACAGACACGACTATCACCGACCCGGTGCTACAGAACCGGGACCCCACAGCCCGCAAACCCCCAGGCTGGGCTGCAAGGGAGGCTCAGAAGCGGAAGGAAAGGGATTACTACCGGCACACAGAACACGTGGTGTTCTGCGCCCTGGCCGTCGAGACCTATGGGGCAAACGCTCCCCCCACGACGGCGTTCCTGAAGCTGCTGGCCACAGCAGCAGCTAGGAACCGGTTCAGGGCCAACCCCCTGTCGAAATAGGCCAAGAAGATGGCCTGCCACTTCAGCCAGCGCTGGTCAGTGGCCCTCCAGCGCTCCTAGGCGAATGCCCTACACACCAAGGCCAGGGCTGGGATAGAGGCAGCGCACCCCCAGATGGCAGCGGACCCATGGCCGCTGCACCTAGGGGACATCCTCCACACGCTGGAGGGTTAGAGGGGCACTAAGGGGGGGGGGGAGGGTCAGAGGGATGGGTTGATGAGTCGGAAGGTATAAGGGAACCACGAGTCAAATTGCATGTCTGTACCCCCTGTTGAATTAATACAAAGGACCATTTGAAAGAGAGAAAGTGAGAAAGTGAGAAAGAGAGAAAGAGAGAAAGAGAGAAAGAGAGAAAGAGAGAAAGAAAGAAAGAGAGAAAGAGAGAAAGAGAGAAATAGAGAAAGAGAGAAAGAGAGAAAGAGAGAAAGAGAAAGAGAGAAAGAGAGAAAGAGAGAAAGAGAGAAAGAGAGAAAGAAAGAAAGAAAGAAAGAAAGAAAGAAAGAAAGAAAGAAAGAAAGAAAAAAAAAAGAAAGAAAGAAAGAAAGAAAGAAAGAAAGTGAGAAAGAAAGAAAGAAAGGAAGAAAGGAAGAGAGAGCCCTGGTACCAATACCTTTATTGCACAAGACAAACAGTGTCAACAGGGTATTTCAAAGAGTTGCACGGGTACTTTCAGCAAACGACACAGAAGCGCAATACGTTTTGACTTGATAGGTACACAACAGCAAAAGTTTTCAACCCGAATGTACAATATTCTTTCATATCAGCGGTATTCAACCGCTAAACACGCAATCACTGTCATACACAAGCTATAAGAACACAAACCTGTACCCTTCATTATAAGCACACAAACCTGTAGTTCCATTCGTTATAAGTCCCATTGTGAGCGTTGGGGTTGCGAATCCTCTCAACCTCTTTCACCGTCCACCCCGCCTCCCTCAGCCCTCGCCTGCTCTCCTCTCGAATCTCCTTCGATACAAGCACAACCATCTCGTGCCTGCTCCCCGTCCTCCTTATACTGTGCCCCAGTACTATTGCGCCGCACACATAGTGCTCTGATGAGTGTAGCACTGTAGCATACGCGACGCGCTGGTTGGCTGACAAAGAGGGAGAAAAGGAAGAATGGGAAGAGGCGAGTTAGTAGAACGGTGAAGAGGCGGTTGAAAGTAAAGTATTCAATACGTGCGGGCGTCGCAAGCAACGCTCGTTACAGTATGCGGGCGTCGCAAGCAACGCTCGTTACAGTATACGGCGTGCGTCGCAAGCAACAAAGCTCGTTACAGTATGCGTGCGTGCATGCATGCGTGCGTGCGTCTCAACAAATTGAATATATCGCTGGAATTGATGTCGTATCCGAGTCGTCAATTGATGTCACTTCTTGTGACCTCTCTTGTCGCATTACCTGAGACCTTGCTGTTGATAGGCTGCGCCATGGCGCAGGATCCTAGGGGCTGTACACGTGTCAGCATGTCACTGGCCGTCAGGTTGTACAGCCACGTGTCCCCCTCACGCGCCACAAGTCGCGAGCAGTGGAAGAGGTTGGGCGGCGGGCGGCATGCGGAGAGTAACATCACTGGTAACCAAGTGCGATTCGCCTGTTGCACGAGGGAATTGGGTGAAATAAGGCACAGAGTAATGCCAATGATAACACAGATTCGCCTGCTGCAGATGAGTTGGAAAAAGTATTGGGTGATGTGAGGAACTTTAATACATTTCTGTATACAGAGGCGGTTCTTACGCTGATTACGAATCCTGCGATCGTTAGGAGCTGCTGCTGCCACTGAATATCCTTCGCCCAGGAAACGCTCGGCTCGTCGCAGGGTACGTGTGCGACGATGGCGTCGACGTCGCCCAGCCAATCCGGGCTTTCCGGTTCTGGACTTTTCGGGCAGGATGAGCGCGATTCGTTCACCCATTCGGGGTACGCATTGCTCCACGTCAGATTCTTGGGCACGGACGGAACGGGTAACTCGAGAAGCTTGTGGTGCCATAAGCCGTAACGCGAAAGGTCGTAAGTTGTAGTAACATTCGCCTCAAAGTTGAAAGTTGCGATTGTCGCGAACCGCAATCGATTCTGTCGCTGAAACGAGATCAGGGCTGCGAATCCTTGCTCGTAAACGCTCGCCTTACCATCGAACGGGCGGGAATCCGCCGCTAATGCATTCATATCGAACCACTCAATGGGCGAGTGCCACGTCGCTGAGTACTGGAAATAGTGGTAAGCTACGAGGAGAAGACCGAGCGCCACGACGAAACAGCGCGCCGCTAAGAACAGCTTATCTCGAGGCTTGAGCTGCGGCAAGGGGATTAAGGAGGTAATCACTCGGTGACGCGGCGAAGGGTGCGTATCGCCGCCTTTCGGCACGCTAGACGGAGCACCGCCAATCATTGCGGAGAGGATTAGTGAATCGAGCAGCTGGTCTTAGCTGGTTGCAAAATGTACAATCTTTGGAGAAAACGGACCTGGCACAGAGCAACAGAGCTGAGAAAATGCTGAGAAAATGACTAGTTGGGAGAGTATTGGCTGCCATGTAGAATGGCAGAGGCACTGGGGACGGCAGTTCAAGCAAAAACCACCAACAGCTGTCGTGTCATTGTCGAGCTAAAGAGAAACAGCAGATTTTGGCCGCAATTCAGCGGCATTGGGCATTTCGTTCGTGATAGACATTCCATCCATCTGCTTCAAGCGAAGGCTCACGCACAGTTCAAGATCTTGTTGTATGGGGGCTCGGTTTTGGCTGTGATTGGCTGACGAGGTGCGGAAATCACACAAGGTCCCGGCGCTGCGAATTCAATACGCTTCGCGTTTTAGCCAAACCTGCAAGCTTGTCGCCAAACGTCGATTTCCCCAATCCCAACTGCAAATTTGCCTTGTAGGCTAGACACTTCAACAGGTATGGCAGCGCAGTCACATCACACAACCAGATTGATTTTCTTGCATGGCAGATGTCACTCTCTCTGGCCTTGAAAGTGATGAGGGAGATTCGTTTGTAGGGAGTGGCAGGAGGTTTAGCTAATGCGACGCGAGGGTAAGGGGGTGCTGCTCGGTGTGGGGGCGCCGAACCCGTGGGGGGCGACGGCGGTGAGGTGACGCCAATCACAACGCCCAATCACACTTGAGGAATTTGCTCGAATCGGCTATTCGTTCACGAATCTTCTCGCCAGATTTGTGCTTGGCAAATCTGGTCGACGTCAGGACATTTCTCAGGCGTTTACAGTTCTTGTATCGTGGTTCAGGACGTTTTACCACGGTGAGAAGTGGTTCTTGACGTTTACCTCTCTGCACCGTGTTGAAACGAAGTTAACCGCAGTAGACGTATAAAAAGTTGTACAACCTGACCTGTAATGAATATGCAATTCATTACTGTAGAGGCTGCTCCTAGCTAGGACAGCCCGAGCACTTTGCGTCAGGATGGCTCGTCCTACACTTTCGCACCGAGCCAATTCCGAGTCGCCCCGCACCAATCGCGACATTCCCGAGCCATGCACACCTAGAGGTTCTCGCCTAGCTAGTTTTCGCCCTATAAATGCTCGCTTTCTTCATTGTGTGATCATTTCTGGAATCACGTCTTCTTTATAAAGTCTTCCGCGCACTCTGTCTAGTAAAACTCATAACACTTGGTATCAGAGCTACTTTCCTAGCTTCCCCGTCTTTTAGAGTGTAATACCCCTCGGGGGGGGGGGGAGGACAGGGAAGGATGTCGTGGTGACAGGAGCAGCGCAAGAGCCGGCCAGGAGAACGGGTAGTTGCTCCTAGCGGCCATGAATTTCAAGGCGCTCCTGCGGCACCGACGGATCCTTGCCCTCGACGGTCGAGATGGACCGTGGCCTCCCTCCCCCCTGGTGGCGGACAGCTTTCCTGTCGTCGCATTTAATGCGTGAGTAACAGAACTCGTTTTCGGCAATTTCGGAGTTAATGCTGTGTAGTGGTTGACGTCGGCAGGCTCGTCGTCGGCGCACGTCCGAAGTTGTCGGAAGCAAGATCGTCGTGCGAGTTGCGTCGACACGTGGTCGACAGCTGCGTGTCAGAATCCCAACCACTAGACCATTGGGATAAAAGGGCTTGTTTAAGTAGCGGGTCAGTGCGCCCATAACCCCCCAGGCCAACGTGCCTGTAACCCTTTCCTAGGATCAATCGGAGATCACCAGTGGACCTCTGACACTGCGCACGACAATTATGGAGCTAGCTGCGTGCGGCAAGTGGCGATGGGCGTCTTCGTCACGTTGCGCACGAGCTGGTGGAAGTCCTCGGCAAGTGGCGCGTCGTCACTGTGCGCGAAGATTTCGGAGTAGCAGCACGTGGAAACGACTGTGGTCGAGCAGCCAGGCGCAATGTGTGATTTGCGTCAGAAAAAACCGACGACGAGGAGAGGCGGCGTGGCGACTGCCCGAAGAAAGCGGGGGTCTACGGTCGTCCCACCCGGTTGGGGTGCGTCGTGGGCATTTTTCGGCAGAGCGGCACAGTGTGGGACGGAAGTTGTTCTTCAAACCACCGAAAAGTTTGGAAAAGGCCGCCTACGACCAGACTGTTCCGGCTTGGGTGACTACTGTTTCTGGCACAATGTTCATCGGCAAAAATTTCGGAGCAACAGTGGCAGCCGATTCTGCACTTCACGCGGCACAGTTCCCTCCGGCCAGAGGAACCTGTGTTTGCAGACAGCCCAGTACACCACGGAACAACGATTCGGCGCAGCGTTTAGACCCGCGAATTTTGGGGGTTCTACCGGCTACAATAAACGGAGTTGCGACTAATACGGGTCCAGCGAGAGAAACGGGTTCCGACTTCAGGAGGCGAGAAAACAACCTAAAGCGACGACTTTTGCTGAGGCCGAGTTTCACGGCTAAGCGGCGGTAGCAGAAGGAGCTCCCTACCGGCCAAGTCTACCGACGTTTCACATACCTCAAACCAGAAAAGCCTCGAAGGCAATTTGTAAGTCCTGTTGGCTACTGGATAAAAAGGTGGGGCCCTGTGTTTTAGCCCTGTGCTGGCTAGAAAGGCGTGGGTGGCGCTGGTTCGACGGCAGGGCGTTCAAGAAAATCTTCAAGCGACACTGTTTCGGCCCCGACAAAACCGGACCATCGGCAACGTTTCCCCTGCCGAAAAAAGTCGGGACTGAAGAAATTGTGGCAGCTGGTGGTGTTTCTCCTGGTTCAACGGTCTACCCAACGGCGGTGTAGCGGCGAAGATGGAGTTCCCGAAGCTATGGAGTTTTAAGTGCGATAGGCACGGTGGGCAGCGAAGCGGCCGGGCGGGCGTTTGATACGATAAACTCACCCCGGCTACGATTGTGTTCGCGCCTTCATCGAACGCCAGAAAAATCGCGGGTCAGCACGAAGAATGTCTCATCCGACAAAAGCGGACGCTGGGTGAACGGCAGCATGCGAAATTGTCGGGGGGCGAACGCAAACAAAGGAGGGAAAGTTGAGGGTGCCGCTTCAAGCTACTTGAGTGATAGGCTGAGCCCGTACACCACTCCACCGCGAATTTCGGAGTCTATTCGGTAGAACCCCGAAAGGGTTTGATATCGTTACATGGAGGCGCGGCGAGGGGTGTATTGCCAAGGATGCCTGGGATTTGCTAGGTAATTTTCGATAGGTACGAAGACGGGTGAACGTCGGAGTACCAGGGTTAACGGCGGAAATGTCGGGGCTACAAGGCAGAAAATACTTCGGGGCTTGATCCCTCAACCACGATTTTCGGGTGCAACTTCGACGGTGGAAGACGGGTGAACGTCTGCTCGCCAGCTGTTTAAGCGTTTCTCGGTGTACTTCGAAGCAGTTTGGGGGAGTTCTGCTGCGAGATCTGCGGCGTTGATGCGCGCTAGGGTCCGTGAAAATCGGTCTCGGGAGACCCATAAGTACTGGGTTCCACGCCAAAAAAGCACCCCCTGTTGGTGGGTAGCTTGGGTGGTTAACCGCACGAAAAAAATGGTGACCGAGTGGGCGCGATAGAAACACCGGTTCTTTCAGGGGACAACCTGCAGGCGACCATGACTTTACGTGGTGTGTTCATTTCCGACACTTACGGGTTTCAGCAGCAGTACTGGGAGCTGGGTCTTAGCGGAGCTCGGCGGCAACGGTCGGCAGTTCCGTTCGAAACGGCGGGGATGCAGAGGCGCTTGGTTAAGCGCGCAAAACCGACTGGAACACGATCGGCAGTGAATTCCGACTCCGTTCGGGGGTACCAGCCGCAACACCGGTAAAATTTATCGCATCAGGTTGGGGGGAGGAAGGACAGCTTTTTCGCCTCCGCCCTCAGTTTTCGGCGAGTCACGACAACATCGCCGAGGTAGCTGACGTCATCAACAGTTCATGCTCGAGTTTGAAAAAATATTTTCGATGGGTCAGGGGGAAGAGCAGCAGTTGTTTTTTCGCCTCTTCCCGGGAGTTTTTCGGCGAGTTACTGAGAAGAATTGAACGAGAATGAAATGACTGTGAACGAAGTGAGTACAAATAGGAAACCCTAATTGGGTTGTACCCCCTATGGGATACCCCACTATAGCCTACACAAATAAGTAAGCTATAATGTTCTGACACACCCCCATAGGCAAAGTGGGGGAGAACAAGGGGTCACAAGACCAGTCAAGCAAAGCAA